AACAATGTGGCTGTAGATTTTCTCAAAATAACTTTTTTATTGCCCTGTCATGGTGAACTTTTTCATATTAGATGTATATGCCATATTTTAAATTTAATTGTTCAAAGTACATTTACTGAAATTAAACCCATAATAGAAAAGGTTAGAACAGTTGCTTATATGCATACTGCTTCTGAACAAAAACTTAAAAGATGGAAACAAATGTGTAAAAGAAAAAATATTAAGGCTAGACTAATTCCAAAAGATGTTGACCATAGGTAAAATTCCACATATGCAATGTTAAGTGTAGCTATAGAATATAAAAAAATTATAAATTATTTTATAAATTATTTTGCTTCTAATTCTAGCTCTGGCAGCTCTTATGGAATAATTGAAGATGAATGGACAATTATATGTAATTTAAATGAGATGTTACAAATTTTTTATGATGCTACTATGTTATTATCTGGTTATTATTATCCAACTATTACTTTAGTTGCTTTACAAATTTTAAATATTCAAAAAAAATTTAACTATCGTATGAATGATACTTTTGGAAGTATAATTTTTCAAATGGTGAGCAAATTTAATAAGTATTTTAGACTTATTCCTCATATTTTTGGTTTGGAGGTTCTTATTGATCCATGTTTGAAGGATATTGGCCTTCGAAGTTTGTTGCAATCATTGTATGGTGGACAGGTTATAGAGTTAGATGATGGATCTAGCATTACTGTTACTTCTCATTATTTAGCTATTAGAAATTATTTTCAAACCTTATATGATGAGTACACAGCTAGACATGGTGTAGTCTGCAGTCTGTAGCTTCGGCACATTCGAGTTCAAGCCGAGATAAAAGTGTAAGTTTTGATAGGCATGCAATGATAGCTGAGCTAACTGGTGGGTCTGGACTTGGATCATCGTTGGAGGTTTCTGAAATAGATGAATATTTATCTGCTTCTTTAGTTAAATGCCAAGGAAATGCTTTAGATATTTTATAATGGTGGAGAGTATATGGATAAGTTTCATATCATATACTTTCCACCATGGTTCGTGACTTACTAACAGTACATGTTTCGACGGTAGCTTCGGAATCCTCCTTCAGCACAACAGGACGTTTGATTGACGACCACAGGACATGCTTAGATCTGTATACTGTACAAGCGGTAATGTGCTTACAAGATTGATGGAGGTATGAGAACCGAATGCAAGGCATCGATCGAATGGCTGTAATTGAAGATAAATTTAAAGAGTTGGGACTAGCAGATAGATATAAAGATTAAACAATATTCATCAAATTATAATTTTTATTTCTTAGCTTTAAATTTGTAATGAATTATTTTAGAAACAGTTACAAATGATAGTGATATAGGTGAGTAGGTGTCAACCTAGTTGGGATGTACTCATCTATTATGATGCGACGAATTCCGAAATAAATTTATACTTGTAAAAGATTTACTGATTATTAATAAAGAATGTATTTTTATTATCTTTTATTTTTATAATTTTTCGTATTTGTAATTTATGTCATTTCAAGTTATTAATAATATGATTATTTTTATTTTTATTTTCTATAATTTTTTGTAATTTTTTATATATATTTTAAATTTTAAAGAGATTATTAAAAAGTTACAAACAAAATTTAAGGGGCTGTTTGGTTGTTGTTGGTAAAGTTGTGTATTTATGACACAACTTGGAAAGTTGTTGTCCACCTTATCAATTTCACTTTTATACTTTTATTTGTTTGTTTTTTATTCCATTGGAATCATAAATTGCTTATTTGGTTTGCAAATGTAACTTTAATTGTTTGTTTGGAAAGTGTAAAAAGTGGTCCTTACTCAAATGATCATATTGGTTAGAATTATTTTTTATTATTTTTTCCTGACTTCAATGTCAGCTTTCTCCTAAAATCATGTCTTTTTTGTATGAAATCACTTTACAAGCCATATCAGCATATAAAATCACTTTACACTATTTTCACAACTACAAACAAACAATTGAAAGTAATGAAAGCTGACATTGGGACCCATTTTTTACACTTTTCATCCTTTTACATGGTAAAAACATACAACCAAACAGCCCCTTGGTACCAAGTTCTTGCATTGAACTTGGTAGTGAGGTGCCCCCCCCCCTATATCACACCTTAAAAATAGAGACTCTTTTTAAAAATAGGTGAATATGGAAATAGTGATTGAGGCTCTCTCTTCAAGGTGTGATGTAGGGTGGGGATTTGGCCACCTCACTACCAAGTTTAATGGAGAAACTTGGTACCAAGTTTCTCCATATTTCTTATATATATATATGAGAATAATGTGTATCCTTGTCATAGGAGGGGATTTCCTCCTTGAAAATGATGTGGCACAATCCTCACCATGTGATATTCTCTCTCCTACTTTATTCACATGGTGAGGATTGTGCCACATCATTTTCAAGGAGGAAATCCCCTCCTTGACATAGGACACCCATTAATCTCATATATATATATATATATATATATATATATATATATATA